CATTAACTCTCTTGAGAGCATTTAAGTTAACTTAGACTGTCCATTACCTTTTTTTCAGTCTAATGCATGACCCCAAAATCAGTTCTCCATGTTCAACCCCACAAAATCTGATGATACTAAGTTCATCATAATACATGGAGCTGTTACTTATTTAGCAACGTCTTACCTTGACATGGCCATTGCATGTGGYTCTATAATAGCTACAGCCATTTCTGGTTAGTTAAATATCAAGACGCCTATAAAAAGGGCCTTGAGATCTCTATGGTACGATATTTCAGAGGACTTTATTTCCCTAAAGTGGCAAAAGGAAGCAATTCAGCTGAGAAAGATGGTGACATTTTCTCTATTCGTAAATAAAGTCAAACTATAGCTATATGCAACACATAAACGTTATTAAAACTAAAGAAGTAAATCATGACTTAAAGTTTACTTTTGTAACAAATTGTAACCAGAATAATTATTTTTTTCCTACGTGTACAATTTTTACGCAATCAGTTGAACGAAGTCCATTGGCGTTACTGACTTTTTTTCATATCATATACATCTGAATCAATAAAAACTCATTCCACTTACTTATTACTATCCAAGTTAACATGTTAATACTTTTAAAGTGATTTTGTTTCAGCACAAAGCCATAACGATCGAGGGAAACACTGAAATCATATCGAGTATCACGAAAAGTTGAAAAGTAGTAGAATGGTTCTGCTGACCAAGAAGATCGTTTTTCGCATTATGACGAAATTCTTCCAAAGCGGAGTGGGGAAAGTGAATTTTGTCAACAGAATTGTACTTGTGATTATTTTTCTTAATTTTGTTAGATCTACGATAATTCAATTCTGGATGTAAAATAATTCACAAAAGCCGTTTTAGAAGCGATCATTTCTTTATTATAGTGACGTATCATTCGTTGCGGTAAATGTTTTTAATTTGCTAAGCCCCTCCCCCTTGTTTAGTCATTTAGTAACTGGAGATCGCGGGCCTTTTTTCGCGCATAAGTTTGAATCATGGCGTAGCGAGTACGAGGGTAGGAGATGCTCTGATTTCTACAAACCTACCATGAAAGCCAGAGGAAGAACAACGGCATTAAATCTGAGGAGGAAAGGATTGCGACAAGCTGAGGAATCCACCAAGGAAACTCGTCAAAATGGACATGCGGAATTTTATTCAGGGAACGATGAAGAATGGACTTCACTACATGACCATATACCCATTCCAGTATTCTCATCTAGAACTGCATCGTTCATTATAGCAATCGTTTCCCTTGTTTGCTACTGGAATACTTGCAGTGGAGACTTTGTGTTTGATGATTCTGAAGCTATTATAAACAACAAAGATCTACGTCCGGAGAACTCATTATTGAACTTATTTGTGCATGATTTCTGGGGAGGAACTCTCGCAGCTAATGAGTCCCATAAAAGTTATCGTCCATTAACTGTTCTTACATTTCGATTGAACTATTGGCTTTCTGGAGGCCTGCATCCTTGGGGTTTTCATTTTGTCAATGTTATTCTACACGCTATTGTATCGATTCTTTCCCTACGTGTATTTGATGAAGTGTTCGAGAATTCATCATCAGCCGCTGGGGTGTCAAGAGAAAGCTTTCTATCTGCATTAATATTTGCGGTACACCCTATACACACAGAGAGCGTGAGTATGGCCTGAAAATCTTTATTGTATTTGTACTGTGTCAACTTTTTGTGAAACTAGTGGGTTATTTATGTCAACATATTTGTCGCACACTGGCCATGTAATAATGCTGTTGTGGAATTGATGTCAAATTGTAGTTCCTTCTTGTCATCGAGATTCATAACACATTGATGTTAATTTTTGATGAGCTTTGTTACTCGTGCTATCATATAAATAATTCCTTTTGAGGTAGAGCTGCATGAGTTTCATCAAATATCTGTGAATGCTTGTTCCATATTATTACATCCCTGTTACATCCTTACAAAGTCACATCTTCGATTACAAATTTCATCTTGATTATTGACTCAAATAAGCTTGAGTGTCTTGTTTTTTATCACGTTTTGCACACCCAATAGATTTAAAAGATTTCCTATCGATTAGTGGAATCTGAATACAATCTGCGGGAATTTTCCGCTCAAAAAAGGCGTCACAGCTGGCAATTTTCATTGATTGTGTTCGATAACACACTTGTCGATTTCACATCAACTGACAAAAACGTCTAGTCGAGTCAAAGTAATAATTTCGATTGACATTTTTGGTAAAATATACTAATTACGCACCAAAGTCTTTCCCAAAGCGAATATCAATATTTAACTTCATTATGAACTATAAATGTCAAGAAATCGTAGAGGTTGATCATGCATAGGAATTTATTGTTTAATTTTCTTTGTGTTTTTTTTTTTTAAGAAATATTTTTGTCGTTTTATTCGCGAGCCCCATCACGCAGGTATTGTGAAAGACTGTTTACTGTCTACCTGTTAAACTATAAGCCACATAATTTGTTTCAAGAACATAACTAAGTGCCCAAGTCATTGAAAATTCTTTTTGACTCATTGGAACATTGTCCCATTCAGCAAATTGAAACATAGTACATGTTTTTCTTGGTATTTCAAACGCAGAGCTTAAACTGTTCCATTTTATTACATTAGATCATCAGTTTTTTGCAATGAAATATTCATTCATCTCACAGTTTTCCAACCTCAAAAGCATAACATGGAATTTTAGTTAATGCAGCTTTGGCGCCTTCAGTGATACCTTCTTGTCACTAGTAAAAGAATGAAAGAATATTGACACCAAGGCATCAAGGGGGGATTAATTGAATTCAATATGAATTAAGACTCATAAACATTGGAAAAGCTTTAGACTCAAATTGAATAAATGTGATAATTATTTTGGAGGCATATGATAAAGGTGATTGTCTAGATTTTTGATTAAGCCAATATCAAAAGTTTCAATGATGTAGAGAATAAGATTATGTTTTTTTACTGATATATGAACTGAGGCAAATGCCTTACTATATTTTGCTCATATTGGCAGAACCCATATTGTCATTATACATTGTTTACTATCAATGTAACTATATATACAACCCTGCTGTTGTCAGTGGGGTAATGCTTTAGAGTTGAATTGGGCATAGTAGCATGGATCATATTATTAAATTTGAGTTTATTTGATGTCTTGTTGCTGTCCCTAACGTGTTAAGTTGTTGTATTATAATAGTATGGTGGGTTGTGCAAATAAAGAGATTATCCCTTGAGCAAGATAGCAGTTCTCTTCTGTCATGAATTCCTCATTCTAAAATTCCTCCTTTTTACTCATAAACTGATTTAATATTAATTTCTAATTTCCTTAATTTATGTATCTATGAAAATCATCCTTGGGGGCTTATAGGCAAAATGTGTATCTACGAAATAAATTGGAATTTCAATAAAAACCTGCATAAATTATTCAATCTTGACAGGATTAGATGAATGGATTTTAAAATAGGTTGTGCATCTTTGGCAATAAAGGCCCAGGCATTCTGTCCATGGCCACATCTAGAAACATATTGTTCCATTGAAAAACTTTTTGTCAACTTTAAAAGAATATCAAATAGTGCAACATTAATAGGTTTAGCAGTAACCACAACAGAATTACTTGGTCACCATTTAATGCTGTATTTTGTATATTTATTGGGGAGTGTTCAGTCCCTTGAATTATTAAACACTGTGACAAAATAAGGATTCCACTATAAGTTGATTATTAAGTCCTCAACATAAATAAGACTTAGAAAATGGTTATCATTTCAATAATTGCCATCAAGAGTGATTTTGAACCACTGCAGCTTTAATTCTGGTCCAAAAGTCAATATATATACATCAATTTGAATATGTTTGTAAAGTATTATATTATACTGAAGTATTATGTTCATATTCTGCCCATCAATGCCAGTAAATATAATGATTTAGGATAAAATTATCATGATAAAGAAAGTAAAATTAGCACATATCATAGTTTTGAATATTTATGTGCAATATAAAATATGTTTCCCAGTCAACATACTCATCATCCAAACCGTTTTTAGATCCAGTTTAAGCTTGACAGATAATAATAGTGATTGAATAACAAAGGAGTTGTATTTTTAACTTTTCATTAATCTTGAATAGAAATAAAGTTGCAACAATTCTAATCCAACAAATAACATGTTACATATTAATGCATAGCACTTTTAAATTGAATTTTTAGATGGTTTTTAATTTATCATCCCACACCATTTTAAATTAGCTGTCTTATTTATTCATTTATCTTTCTATCTATACAGGTTGCGGGTGTTGTCGGTCGTGCAGACCTCCTTTGTGCATTTTGTTTCTTTGTCTCATTYCTTGTATTTATCAAATGCTGCAAGCTATACCGTAAGTCAAAAATGCATGAAATATTTCATTTTGYAATTATTTGATTATCCATCCATTTAATTTCTCAGTTATTTATTTCCCATTTTTTAAAATTTTTTGGTTAAGTCTTAACCTAAATTGGAGTAAATTTTTTTTCTGTAGATTGTGATTCACAATCTGCCCTTGGACACTTACTAATAAGTTCAGTCTTGTGTGCACTTGCTATGCTGTTCAAAGAACAAGGCATTACTGTTCTTGTAAGTATTATTTATTGTTACCATTAATGTACAGTAATTCTACAAAGRGGCRGATCAAGCTTGTGAAAGCAGGGGTGTGAAGCCCCTTAAATACTTYCCTTATTTTAGCCTTCTTTGTGAGCATCTAAATAGTGACGYCCCTCCTTAGGAAGAAAATCCTGGACCTACCCTTACAAATCACCTCAGACATTTTCYCAACAGGTTTTACTGATTTGGTYATTTTCATACAGAAGTCAGTTGTTGTCACAAAAATTAAATATGATGTGAACAAATCATTGYTTCTGTTTTACYTTYTAGGGCCTGTGTTGTGCATATGACGTCATTGTTGTGTGCAAACTAGATTTTATCCACTTAGTGAAAAGTATATTTTCAACCAAAAAGAATGGTTCTTCAAATGGGGTATGTYGCTGAAAAGATAATGCAAAAAGAGAAATAGAGTTAAACAACTTGCAATAACAACAACTTGGAGCTGCTGCATTATATTCATTGTTTATAACTCTTATTTTTGTGTGTTTTCTTTAAGAACCAGGATGATAAGATGTCTGTCCTTGTAGGACTATTCTACAGACAGTCAGCTCTAGTGCTTGTTGGCATAACACTATTRTTAGGTAGATGGAATATCATGGGATCAACMACACCTCATTTTCAAGTATCTGACAATCCTGCATCGTTTGAGAAATCTTTCCTAGCAAGAGTAAGTAGAGTAACAGCCATTGCAGTATAGTATTTACAAATATCTGATGTTTTCCATGTATTAAAGAAATAATAGTTAAAAATGAAGTTGTTTATTTATAAGATTATAAGCATGATTCTCTCTTCATTGCCAAAGATTTTGTTGTCTAATAGTTGTAATAGTTATGAGACCGGAAACTGTTATTTAACCGGAAGTACATTGTATCTTGACGTCACTAGTGACCTTTTGACCTTGGCCTCATGGTCTTTAGTTCGTGTTGTTATTAAAAACGCCTAGAAAGTGTGTCAGCGTCATTATTATTACATAGTATTGATTGGTTCATAGGTCGTTAATTATAACTACATTTATTCAATCAACTTATGGATACTTGCCTGTCCGTACTGGCTCTGCTTTGATTGGTCAATGGGCTGCATTCCTCTCATTAAGAGTGTTACAGATATTAGAATACTTGGTGTACTGYTGATGTGGGGTGTGTTAGCTGGTCTCTTAGGATACTGTCTCCTTGGTGCACCATCTCGTTATAGAAGGTACGCTAGCTCAACGCAGGAATCTCTCTAGCTTACAAGATACATTACTGAAGAGTACAGCAGATCAAAACAGCTGTCAAAGGCCAATGCGCATGTTCTTTTCTTGGAGCTTGTCCCACATGGATTGGCTTGCTTTGTTTTTAATTGTTTACTATTTGAATCTTGTGATTATGCCATCGGTAACAAGTATGCATGAAGCAGCCCAAACGTTTTTATGGGGAATTGAAAATAAATGTTATACGCACATTGAGTACAAGAAGTTAGAAAAAATAATTCGAAGAAGAGTGCTCGTTAATGTTTCTACTTCTTTATCTTGTTTTGAGGCACTCTTGACGTGCATTTTAAAACGCTGGATAAAAAAAAGTAAATATCATTTGCGCAAATATTAAAGCGACATGTGCGCACGAGCTTTATCTGCAAAATGTACCACCATTGCACAATATGAATAATTTTGAGTCGTTATTTTATTGTAGAATATGTACAATGGGATTAGCGTTCATTGTGGTACCTTTTCTGCCAGCATCCAACGTGTTCTTCAGGGTTGGGTTTGTCGTAGCTGAGCGTGTACTGTATTTGTCAAGTGTTGGTAGTTGTATTTTGGTTGYTCTTGGAATAAAAGCTTTAAGTACAAAATCATATCTTAGAAAGGTGAGGTTGTCGTACCATTATAATACACAGTATTATTGAGAAAATAGTAGAAGTGTTTGCGTAAATTGACTTCAGAGCAGGTTTTGTTTAAACGATAGGAACTAAGTTCCATGTTGTTTATATTTCCAGTTTGTTTCATGTGGGATGTTCACGATGATAGTTTGTTTTGCCCTATGGACCATCAAAGTAAGTAAAGCTAGTACCATTGGAAAAAGACATTGGCGCAAATTAAAGCCTTGCATAAAAAGGCTCATATGACACTGTACTTACAGTTCGCATAGAGATGCTGGACTTCACAAATCTTTTATACGATTCCCTTCCGTTGTCACTATCGTTCATACTTTTTATGTTGCATATCTTGTTCCAATTGATTTTTCCTCTTCTTGATCATTACAGAGAAATGGTCAATGGCTTAGTGAAGACTCCTTGTTCTCTTCTGGTGAAGCTGTCTGTCCTCTGAATGCAAAGGTTTGCAGTTTTTTCTTATGTACAACCTTTGTTGTTCGTTAATAAATTTGCGCTCTCTTTTTTAGGTTCATTATAATATTGGCAAAGTGCGCTCAAACCAGCATAAAGATGAAGAAGCGTTGCGTTACTATMGACAGGCTGTCAGGTAACACAATCTCTTTAAACGTGACTAAAGTTTTTTGCACTAATGATGGCAATTTTGCTTTTAGGCTCAATCCTACATATCACGACGCTTTGAATAATTTAGGGAATCTTTTAAAGGTAAAAATACCCTACCATTGTTTTGGTGAACAAGTTCATATAAAGACAAAAAACTATCGCTGACATGTCGTGTATGAACAAGTGGAGCTACAATTGTAGTCAGGAATGCTTTGTTATCCCATTCATCTTCTGTTATCGCATACATCACACTTKTGTAACCCTCAGATCACAGTAACAAAAATAAAAACAAAATATTGTACTCTGCAGGAAAAAGGAGAAATCACAGAAGCAGAAGGACTGCTCGAACGAGCTGTTCAGTCAAGGTATAACAGCACTCAAGAAACGCTTTACTAACTGTCTWCTGTCTCCTTTCTTTTTCTCATTCTTGTCGTTCTTCTTTCTCGTTTCTTTCACAAGCCAAACGCTCAGTTCGTTACGCCATCAAAGTCTAAGGAGGCCCGAGTATGTGACTTGATACTACTCTATGTGTATTCTGCTTGACTTTGGACAATTATTTTAGTTAACAATCTATGTTTCATCTTTAGTCACACGTTTGCTGCTGGTTGGATGAATCTTGGAACTGTCAAGGCCGCCATGAACAAAATGGAGGTATTTCTTGTCAGAATTCAACGTAGTTTGGTCATTACTGAGGGCTAATAGTTGTACTTTATTGTAGGAGTCTGAACTGTGTTATAAAAACGCTATACGATTCAGGAAAAAGTTTCCAGATGCTTATTTCAATCTTGGTAATTTGGTAAGTTGCTCTTTTAAGTCAATACCAGACGAAAATTAGTCCAATAAATCGATAATAATCTCTTAATCGTCCATTCAGCACAAGTGCCTCTTTTGTTTAACTAGCCTCTGGCCGAGAGGCATAACGATGCCACAATTCAGCTCAGTGGATTGTTTTGTTTCAGTACATCGACTGGGGAAAAAATGTAGAAGCTACAGCTGCTTTTAAAAAGGCTGTGAATCTCAAAAAGACGCATGTTGGTGCCTGGTTAAACCATATACTTTTACTGGACAAGTCAGGTAATTCACGACTTTACGTAACGTTTATCTAGTATGTTGTTGAAAATGGTTGTTATCAAGTTGGTAAAGTGTTGTTTGGAATTCAACTTTAGACAAAAGAGAAGAAGGCATTTTACTTGCCCGAGAAGCCTTGAAATACATCCCCAACGAAGCATCTATACATTTTAACTTAGGGAATATGCTGGGACAGGAAAGCAAATACGAGGTAATKATGGTGATAATGCACAGTTCAGCACTCGCTTTGCAATGATAATGATGAATCGCAACTCTCTGCTTACACTCCTTATTAAGTTAATCAACTTACGTTGACGATGATGGTGATAATGACGTAAGGTGATGTTTGAAAAAATGTATCATAGCAATATGTTTGGATCAGCACGTGAMCTTAAAGGAAGCACATGATTGGTGCAAAAGGTCATGAATCATTCATTAATGAGTTTGAGAATGTAAATGTGCGTGTTCTCTTTGGTTCCAGGAAGCAGAGAAACACTTCTTGAAAGCGATTAAAATCAACCCACGTGTTGCGGAAGTACAAGGAAATTTAGGTGAGAAGCGACGGGACATATTTAATAATTTYCAACAGTATTCCCCTGGTCATTWAWTCATCMWTTCAGTCACCCAGTTGTCCTCCCATTCTTGTTTTAATCATTCATGTATTTATTTGAAACCAGGTGTTCTSTACCATCGATGGGGCAAATTAGAAGAAGCCGGAAARCAGTACGAAATAGCACTCGGCCTCGACCCTCGTGGAACTAACATTAGAGAAAACATTGACAAACTAGAACGGGCCAAAAAGAAATTAATAATGCAAAGATAGGAATATTTTAGAATTAAGGATTTTGGAAATTATTGTCATTATTTATATTTAATACGCGAAGAAAACCTTTTAACTCAAGTGTGGGAAGACGAGAAGGGAGGTATTATATATTAATGCAAAAACAACAAATTATCATCTCTCCAATCTTTTGATGCTTTGATATTGAATCATGTCAAGTTGTGAGTTTCAAAGAAAGGAAAAAATACACAAAACATTTTCTATTTACAACAGCACGGAAAAARAAGCAGAAAACTTTACAATATGAATTTTATTGGTTTGTTCTAGTCTGTTTTACTTTTCTTTTGTGTGTTTGTTTGTTTTTTTCTTGTCTGTAAAGAATTCTACCAACAAGCATTYAAAATAATAAGCTYATTTAAAAAAAGGATTGCTTTTCTTTTATTTTACTTCACTGTCTTGGAGTAAAAGTATCAGTAAATGTCAAAACAAACGGAATATTTTACTCTTTACGAATAATTCATTTATTAATAATTTACTAGGTTTTTAACTACATAATAATGTATATATATATACCATTTAAAAACTATCAAGAGAAATTCTCAATATGTACTGAAACTCTCCATATTTTAAGATAAAAAGCCAATAAAAACAATCAAGTTTTGTKGTGTAGTTTGGGTATTTCAACTTGTGCTTCACGAAGGGAAAGTCCTTCATAGTTCGTCTCTTTCATGATGARACCCGTGGAATTGYTTTAAAATATTTTTGCGTTTTTCCAGCTCATCGATCTTCCTTGGATGAACTTGACCAGCGATTAGTCGTTCTAGTCTCTCGATCTCATGGCCGACTACATGCGCGCCCTCCTTTATAACTCTCCCCATGACGGTAGCGTAGTACTCGGCATACTCCCTTGAATCGTGAGATTTAGATTTCCCTTCAACTTCTCTTAGAATATGTTCTCGTCTCTCCCAGTCTTTCATAAATTTGGCTGCCAACTTGTCAAACTCTTCGACTCTTCCGGCCTGAAAAAATGAACAATTATAAGYAAGTACATAATCTTGTACTAATTTACCTACACATTGAAACGCTTAGTTCAAAACACAAATTACTGCATTTTGAGCGTTTGAAAGATTTTTGATTTACCCGTTCATCAAGCCKTCCTTCTTTTACTCGTTGAGTTTTGCAAAGTGCATTCATGAAAGTTGTCATATTAGTTTCGCTGTAAAACTCGTTCTTCTTTCCTGGTTCGTAAGTGTAGCCATCTTTGTTACTGCGAGGATAAATCTACAACAACAACATAATCAATGATAATGAAGCCGAAGGTTCCACAAGTCGCGACGAATTCGGGTTGTCATCTTTGATATGGCCAATGAAAGTCCACAGAAACTTAAAGATTACTTCAAGGGAATGTCCAGAAAACATGGTAGGTCTCCACGCCACTCCCTTTTCCGATAGACAATGCGAAGCGCACGCAAATTGCTTAGGTATCTTCAACTCACCTTAATTGTTGGATAGTGAGGTATTAGCTGATCTAGACAAATCTCCGCATTGATGTCACAATCTAATCTGGATACCACACAATCAGGYTCGTTACTGAACGTTTGACCAAGCTGATGTAGTGTGTACTCCATTTTCCTGCAGAGCTCGCAGAAACCATTATAGTAGAATACAAGYACATTCTTTGTTCTGTCTTTGATAATGCGCTCAAAGTTGGAAACGTCTAATTCAATGACGGGACGCATGAAAACACTCTTATCAAAAGTTATTTCAGAACGAGTTTGGATGAAACGTATAAGGTCGTCTGGCCTCTTTCCACCCTTGTACCTATAGTGCAAAAATAGGAATAGTTATAAACTGTTTTCTCGAGTATAAGTGYGTAAAAAGCTATTACTTCAAATCTTGATAAAAGTACTTTTTGGTATTACTAAACTGTTTGAGTCGCACTTAAGATTGTAGGGAGAGAGAAACACAGGCGCACCGTCGCAAGGAGACAACGAAAATTATTATATCATTATCAGACTTACGTTTCTTCTGTTGTACTTCCTTTAACAAAGAATCGAAAAGACGGAAAACGATCAATCCAAAACCTTATCGCCAGCTTTGTATCTTCATAACCGTTTGCTTTAGCAATAACGATGTCTTTACGATGTTTGAACGCGTCCGCCACATCRCCATACGTTCCCATGATTTTAGTCGATTGCTCGTCCCAAGAAGCGTAGAAAAACACAAAAACAAACTTTGTTCCATCAATGAATTTGTCAGTGCTTGCATTAGTAAGTTCTACTACTTTGGGACTACTACTATGACATAGATAAACGTTATATAAAATAAGGMAAATAAAACGTAAATGGAAATAGAAATTCCACGACATTTTGCGCAACCTACACTATTTCTGGATTGTTCGAGYGAGGTCTTTCATGTAGAAGTTTGAAGTTTCGAGGATACACTTGTTAAAAGGTAACTGGCTAATAAAACTGAGCCACTAAATTAATGTAATTGATCGAGATTCGGTAACAGCTAAGTCAATAATAGGGGAATTGAATAAATCAAATAGTATAGCCAAGTAATAGTGGACTAAGATCACATATCTTTTTSCTTGGTTCAGTGATAGTTTCCGAAAATGAAAGCAATCATTTAATATTACACTTTCACATTTGGTCATGATCAATCTATTTTCCTGAAAAACACCACTGTATATTTCAAAACAAAAATGAAGTGAATCTTTTCTTTAAATGCTACGGTCTGTTTTCCTATTCTTCTTCACAGAAAAGAGCCAAAGAAATGCTGATATTGTTTTTCTAGCTGTGTTTGCTATTTTGTGAATTCAACACCTGGGGGTAACACACGTTTAGTTTATGCAAGCAAAAATTCTCCCAAATCATTTTGTCTCTTCAACTGCTTGGTATTTTAATTTTAATTTGGATTGGAAACCGGTTAAACAGAGATACTGATTAAATAACCAAAAGAAGAAAAAGTAAATGGTAGAAATATAAAGGAAGAACTCTTTTTGCAAGTTTCCTTAACAATGTCGTATCAACGAGTTCAAACGACGCAGCCCAAAATGTCAGACCAACCTATTTATGGCGAGTTACCGATCAATGTTATCTGTCCATACTGCCAGGCAAGAATAATGACTTCTATTGTACTAGAAGACGGGAATTTAACGTACTTTGCAGCAAGTGCTCTTTGCGTATTGGGGTAAGTTTACTGCAACAACATTCCAAATCGCAAAAACATAGGCTTACTAACAAGTTCGGTTTACTAAACACATGCTAAATGCACGGAGTAAATGCAATCTAGTAGCGACATAAAGCACACAGGATTGTCGCGATTCAAACTACAGCAAGACATTGTTTTCATCATGTATGAAGTTACAGTCCTTCGAGAGGCGCGCCTTTACTAACGACRTAAGCACACTGTTAAGCCAATCAGAGCGCGGCTAAAAAATTAAAAAACTATCAAAGATCGAAAATTGCTATAAATATTATTGCTTTTTATCGTTGTTTTCATCATTATATCCGCAGTTGCTGGTTCGGATGTTGCTTAATTCCATTCTGTATGGATTCATGTAAAGACGTTATTCATATCTGTGGAAATTGCAGAGCACCAATCGGAAAATACAACAGACTTTGCTGAATAAAAGTCTCTTATTGAATCAAACTGAGGTGTTAATGTTTTATCAACGAATCTTTTAAAGTATTAGTCAAATCATCCCATAAAGACACAAAAGGCTTTTATGTTTTGCTTATAATCTGCTGTAGGCCATTTGAAGGTCCATTTGATTGGCAATTAAAATGGCTGTATTTCTTGTAATAATCATCCTTGTTAACAAAACAAAGTGCATATTTGAATGAGAGTTTGCAATATTTTAATTTTAACAACTACACCGGATCAGTAAATGATATTTCCACGTAAGTAATCAGTCTGAATTATTAATAAATATATGAATAAGCAAGATTGATGAGTTTATAACTGGCACTGAACTCCTTYACAAAATTGCAAGGCTGCTTTTTTAATACATTACCTTGAGCTTTTATGATAAACTGAACTACACTAGCATAATGATTCTTGAACGCAAATGACTGCTAAGAACAATATTATATTTGCATTATTCCAAAAACCTTAGCAGATTGATCATTGATTTTGATTTAGTTTTGTCTTTAGTGCAAATTGTAGCAGACCATATATAAACACATTAAGTAATATTTGAACATTTTATAGTTTACAGCACAAACAAAAAAAACACAAATACAACAGAACATGCTTTTGCAACACTTTCAGGGCTCAGAGTCTATAATAGTAACAACATTAACTTTAATTCTAAACAAAACACATATAAACACAAAAAAAAAATATAAACACAACCTGAGAACTTAAGAACCCTGTTTGATTCTCATAACTACTAAAGATTTAAATAAATCGATCATCATGTGTTAAATATGTTTCAGAGGAATTAACTGGCATGCCTTGCTGTGCTCTTGCCTTGTTTTTGGCCTTTTCTTGTTCCTCTTGTTCAATTTGTTCTGCTCTTTGAGCTTCCAATATTTTGTCAACTGAAACTTCTTTTAGAATTGACTTGTTTTCCTTTTCTTGGTCCTATAAAGATTTCAGAGATATTACTCCAGAAACAGGAGTACTGATCATGGTAATATTCTCTCTCATGGTTCCTCGCACCATCTTGTAAGGTAGACCAGCCATAGTGCATGCCTAAGCCTTCTTACCTAACATTGCACACTCAACAGTTGTCTTAACTCAATGTGAAGAACAAGGTACCTTGCTAGATGGTGCAGAGAATTGTGACAGAGACCACTGAACTTTGTTTTCGGACTGCCAAATCACACTAACCATCATAATGACAATCATTTTACTTTGTATAGTTGAGAGCTTTCTGTTAAATACTTACAATTTCACCTAGAAGAACAACATTTTCTCCTCTCACAACAAATATTCCTCTGGGAATGTCACCATACATATCTCCAACATGTATTCTTTCTATTGTGCCTTGAAGTACCAGGTTAGCTATGAAAAAAAATATTTTGAGAGCAAGCACAACAATAACAACAACAAAAAAAACGAATTTAGTTACCCAGAAGCACAAGTTATTCATTATTGTATTGGAAACAAGTTTAGAGTGTTTTGAGTTCCCTGTATTATAAAAGGAATACCTGTGCCATCAAGATGTCAATTTAGTTACTTAGTTTGTGTATTTTTAATTGGTACTTTGGTACTAATTAGTATTATTTCTTTCATGGTGCAAGTACTCCAACAGAATTTGATGTGTTCAAATTTCAAAATCTTAAAAAAAGATGCTATATACACCAAATCTCTCAGGCAAATATTTGACTATTAGACCTTGGCTATTAGGACAATACGTTTCACAGGTTTAATGCCCTCAATATAGGGTATCCTTACCAAATTGATCGATACTTCGAAGATAACCTATAAGCGTTCGATTGTCCCTTAGAACTACCAGGAGCTTTTCTTAAAAAAGAAAAGACACAAAACATTTTTATAGACATGAAACTAGATAGAAAATACATATTAACCTTATATAAGAAAACAAAATTCATTCTTATTAAACGTAACCAATCAAATAAGGAAGATATATAAGCTTAAGTAAGGCTTTAATAAATGTACAAAAGTTTCAAGAAAAGAGATTTGAAGTGTCAGTAGATTTGAACAAAAAGAGAGATATTAGAAGTAAAAGCTTTAGCTCACTTACTGTCAATTTCTTTGATAAGGCTTGCTGTGCCTGGTAGAAAACTCATTTTATTTTCTTATCCACCCATAAACTAAAAAACTTCTATAACATCTTTGTGCACTACCGAGAATATATACAACCACCCAAGACACACGAGTGAACAGACGGAAGTCTTAGTAGCCAGGCCTTACGACACAGGAAGCCCAGAAATGTTGGATTTCTGAGGGCTAAAACATTTTGAGCGAAATTACAGATCCTAGTCGAGTGGTCGGCGTTGAACTTTGAACTAGCTTGCTTCAGGTTCGCCCCATGACAAGGATTCCAGATTCCGGCTCTGGAATCTGTAATGCAGGACACGTGGAATCCGGAATTCTCGGGAATGGAAAAGGAACCGATTTTAAAACAATGAGGAATCGGGAATCCAAATTAGTGATTTCATATGTTATCTTAGCTTATCTAAGACGTTTTGCATTGCGAATCCAATATGCTGGAATACAAAATCCTTGTGAAATCTTTCATGGAATTGAGGAAATTAGAATCTGGAACCAACGCTACGGATTCCGTGTTATGAATCGACATCAATCTAACTCAATATTACAGATTCGGCGCGGAACCCCCTCCCCCATGTTTTTCAAAAAGCTGTCAAAGGTCTGTAAAAGTGTCCCTATTTCACTTGTTTTTTTCAAATATCACATTTCAGCCCACTACCTTAAAATTAAAAAAATTTGCGCCGCCCCGGTACTACAGAAAACAAGTTAATCTTTAATAATGTCCCTCAAATTTGACACATTACACATTTCACTTTGATGGCAACCAAGAAGCCAATTTTCCAGACGTGACAAGTGGTCATGCCCTGTGCGTCATCATATCGCGGTCCGGAAAGCAATAAGTAGAGTTTTACTAGTTACTGAGCCCGGTGTTGACGACTAATTAAAACGTGTCAGTGATAGAATGATAAATTATACTTTAAAGTTATAGCCGGGTTCTTGAGTCATTATCAAGATGACGTTTTTTTAATAAAAAAGGAATTTGCTAGAAAAAGATATCTGTATTATTCAATATCGGCTTGTTGGAATAGACAGCAATTTCACATTCTCGTTAAACAGCATTACTTAAAATTTAATGGTATAACTTCGATGGGACTTATACTCATCCAAAATAGCACTCGTGTTTTTTTGTTTTCGACTCGGAAGAGAAAGAAAAGTTCGTGAGAATGCGCATGCGTTTCTCGTTGTCAACGTAAGTCCCATTTATCTCAAATAAACGATTTGTTGCTATATCTCCTTAATTTCCGTTTTCCAAGTTAAAGGAGATGCTGCTATCCTATCAATCTAGATTATTATAGAAGTTATCTTCAAGAAGCTAGTTTTCAATGACATATTATGTGKACTTTTCGGCTTGTAACAGAGCCTAAGGTTAAAAGTACTGCAAAGGAGCTTACAATAAAGTGCAAGCGATGCATTAAAGAAAAATTATATCCAGTTTCATATTGTAAATTCCGTAAAACTGCGGTAATTGTTCTGTAAAATATCAACCATGTTGCATGAGGCTCTCCTAAGACATTGAGTGTCTAAAGTACTAAGAGTGTATTAKCATAATTTTTAAGACAAAACATCTATGAACTATAAAAATCGCTACTAAAAATAGGATGTGAATAACGAATTATTTGTAGGATTATTGGAACATTTTGAAACCAATAAATGTGTAATTTCCTCTGCAAAATATATATCTCCACATCTCTACGGAGTTTCAAACAAACTTCCTTGGCTTTTAATTGAAGTATACACTTCTGTATTWCAGGATTCATTTTATCTTGGATTAACAAAAGAATAATGCTAATGTGTTTCCATTTTGGAAAAAGGATTCCGTATTCAATGAAAATAACGGTGATCCCATGCCCGGGGTAAATGGAAAATTAGAATTAACGATTTTAATCGTTATGAACTTGAAAGTTAAGAAAAACTAATTCKAAAAACTTATAAAAGCACAATTTCAGTTACCGTTTTACGGCTTCATCAGTGATATATTAATGTTTGTTYTAAAATAGAAGTCTATTCTAGACTGAGTGGTTTTTTTTTTCTATTGATGATCGTTTCAGGCGGCAGCATCAAAAACATGATAATATTAAAAAGAGGTTCAGGGTTAATCATTAATTTGCCACACAATTACAGATTAAWCTCAAATGTGGATAAATGAACTATTCATCATAATCAAAAGTAGTTTGTTTCTTGTTTTACTTTGTTTCTTGGCTGCGTTTTTTTCTGTTTTTAAGGAAACTTAGCTATTCTTAGTAAGGTTTTGAGAATGCTACCTGTATGGAAATTGTCTGCGCATCTTCAAATAACACCTGATGGGATAACTAAAACAGATTTGTTRTACGAAAAAACAAGTGACGTTCTATAAACGCTGGATCCTTGTATAGTGTAAATTGTTTATATGTCCTGGGGGCACATGATATGGCGTGCTCTGTGTGCATTAGCGTTTAAGGGTCTGCAATATAGAGGGATAGCCGCTCTTGAGTCTCAATGGGAAACGCTTCAATTACACAAACTTTTTGAATAATGAAACTGTAAGAGCGTAACACAGACTGAAATATGGAAAGCATWCTGTAGCTTATCACCCTTGTTAATATGAAAAACGTTTGAATTAGGTCACTAGATGTAAAAAAAAACACCATGATCAACACTCTTACATCCAGTGTTATCAGTAGCATTCAAGCATTCTATCGTATCTTTCCTGAGTGCAGCCGTCGTCTTTTCAGTGTTTTTATAAGGTTTTATTTCCAGCTACATTCATTTAAAATAACTTTAATTTAAAAGATATCTTACGTTCTTACTTGTGCTAATCGAGCCAACTTGCGAGTTTTTTTTCCTACTAGAGCTGGCCTACTAGACGAGCGCTCTGATTGGCTGATGATCATGTTATATCACTGATAGCCTTCAGTCCTTCCGCGCTTTAAAATGCCAGAATAGAAGATTTCAAAAGACTGGTTAAAATAAAATGGCCTCGATTCTCCGTTCTAGCSTCTTGTCATTGAACGTTTGKGATATGAGATGTATGCATTGATCCTATTCGGGAAATTATGAGAATTTTAGTTATTTAACATATTTACAATACCTCTTAAATTACTCAAAAAATATTGGATGTCTCCCTTAACATATCTGGACTCGATTTTCCTTTCTTGCGTCTTGTTATTGAACGTTTGGAATATAAGAAGCATATATCCTATTTTAGACAGCCCTTTTAGGAAATTATGAGAACTTTTACTTATTTACAATGCCTCTTAGATTACCGAAAAAGTATAGGATGTCTCCCTGAACATATCTTTAATGTTTTTAATATATCTCGATGTATTTCTAAAACTGATATAAATTTCTGAAAGGCGTATTCCACGGTTAAAGTATACATTGACTGGGGATACAAAAAATACTGTCTCAAGATGTTTGTGACGCAGTCTGTCACTCAAGCTCCTATCACTCAGTCTTGTGTGGAAATTTCCCGCCAGCGTGTGATTTGAATGGTTCGCAAAAAACGTCTAATTATTTAATAACCAAAATGAGCTATTTTGAGGTTTTGTATTTTTGATTTCGTGCTGTAATGACGCAAAAGAAAGCCAATAATRAACAGCAAACACAGTTGAGACTACTCAACTAATATAGGAGAATTTATAGGAACTAAGAAAATGCTGGTAAAAAATGTATGGRATAATAAGAAACGTACGCGGAAAGCAAACGACTTTCAAATTCACTGGGAAAGTTTGTTTACTGGAATTTTCTACAAAAAGAGCCTTTATCGTATGTCAAGAGCTCTTATKTCTAGTGACGTCGATGAACGATGAAACACGAAACAATCGTCGTCTGTCACTAATAAAGAGCAAAAGTAAGTGTTTCGTGAAGAAATGGCGCTAAATGATATCGACACCGACCTTTATTCGTCAAGTAAATTGTTATAAAGCTTCGAGTTTGAGTTTTTCCCATTTTAGTCATATTATTATTACTATTATGTATTATTAAATACGTTTATTAATAAACTTCTATAGTATTACCTTCATTTTCCGTACACATATCTAAATTTTCAAACTTATTATGATTAATATTGTTATTATTATCATTAATAATATCATCATATTAATGATTATAAAACCGAATACACTCTCAAGTGTTACCCATACGTAYAGAGCGCGCTCAATCGAGACAACTAGATATTAGTATAAATTATACAAAATACAATCGTGGCACTATTAAGSTAGAAATGACAAAAATCGGCTCCAAAGTGGGTACTAGATAGTGCCCTGTGATACAAAACAACTAKAAAGGCAGCTATAAGGCAAACGTCAGCAACTCCTAGAAACTTTATCTTGATTCAAAGGAAGCTATTCCCGTGGAGACGGATGCACTTTCTTTCTTCTTAGAAAACATTTTKGGGGAAATTATAGTTGTCTGGCAGACAGGTCCGCTTACGTCTGCTGGATTAGCGATGTTTTTCGTTTAGAGCATATTTCCGACTCTTTGTACCTTTTTAATTTCCTAGTAAATATAATTTCAATTTGATTTCAAAATATTGGATTACTGTTTGAGGAAGCTCTTTCTTTTCACAGCTTTTTTACTCTTATGCTGGCGGGCTTTGCAAAGACTTCTCAAATTCGATCATTTCACCAAACACARCTAATGGCGGGAAATCTCCCCCGTTGTATAAATCCCTCTCCTCGCTGATCCGTCGTTTTAATTCATTGCCAAATTAACGCCTTTCCCATCGACCTTGAATTAAAACTACCGCTTTTGTATTAACTTGTAACATTTCAAATGAAACGTCCTTAATGTAATTGGTTTCCTACATCCGCTTTGCTATGTCTTCTCTGATTGGATCTATAATTGAGCTCTGCATTATATAACGGATAAAAGTTTTGGAAATGCTCACCAATAGACGTCCTAACATTTCGTTATGAATAGCAACGACCGCCTACTTGTATGCAAATTGTTTAGTTTATATTCAGCCCGTGATATGACGAATCCATACTTAGGCTACAGCAGCTGACATAAACAAACTTGTAGCGTTTCAAGAAACACGGAAAACTCGAAGATTTTGTCATCAAAGTTCGAGCACAATTTCCTATCATTTGAAAAGGCTCATTATTCATCTAAGTTGTTTGTCTCACTTCTCAAAGAGGCCGTTAAATAAACAGGCAAGAATTTCAACCAATACTGATACACAAATTGTATTCCGTGAACTCAACCAAGAACTCCAGAAACTGAGCAGTGTGTTGAATTTCATCACTTTGCACTAATGAACTTGTGGCCGACAGAAAGTTAAGGAAAAATGGTTCCAGATCGAGCGAAAAATTCATCTCTTCAAGTCGTTTCGACTTCTTCAAATGACAGCGATGCTTCGATATTTCCTCGCGACCTTGTAACACTTGTCAGTATATACGACGTTGTGGTCATTGTATTCTGTCTGGTAGGCTACGCCTTGGTGGTATTTGCGCTGTTTTTGAACACAAAACTACGAAGCAATTGCAATTTCTTCATATTAAGCATGGGTTTTGCCGATTTCCTAATTGCGACGATAGTTATTCCTGTAAGTCAAGGGCAATTGCTGCATTCGCTGTACTTCCATTCCGTTGCGGCTTGTGAGTTTGTAAGTGACATAAATCTTATTGCGATCACCGCTGTAGCGCTCAATCTATGTGCAGTTACGTTGGAGCGGTTTTTTGCTATCGTCTTTCCTTTCCGTTATGAATTATATCTCACAACAAGAACAGCCATAGGGATCATTGCCGGAATCTGGGTATATGCACTAGTTGTAGGACTCCTACCACAGATGGGCTGGTCAAMRTCACGTGCTGTAGTATCCAATGGATATTGTAACTGGCCTTTAGAAAAAAGTTACCTAATATTCAGCACAAGCTTACATTTTTGCTTCCCAGCTTTTTTAATAGTTGTCACAAACATTCTAATTTACCGAATCGCTGCCAAACAAGCAAAACGGATCTTCAAGACAAGAGCAAGTACCAACWGCACCGCACAGACGTCTTTAACTTCCAGAAAATACTCAACAACTTTAGAAGTATTTAGAATCAATTATCGAGCAGCGAGGAGGATTTCCATTATTGCTGGCGCTTATTTGATATGCTGGTTACCTCAAATGACAGTTTTACTTATAAGTATTCGAACCGGGTATGGAACAATACCTCCCGTTGTGTTCTTGGTGACTTTGCCGTTACAGTACACAAGCTCAGCCGTTAACCCATGTATTTTTTGTCTTCTCCACAAAGAAATTAGACTGACTTTATTCAGAGAAATCAAGGCAAGGGTTCCAYTATTAAGAGGAAATCGCTCCAACAAACGAACCGTYACGCGCGAAGAAAGTCAGTTGCGTGAAAAACAAAATGAAAAAGTTCATCGCACAAACAGTCAGACTGCCACGCAGTTCATCGAGTTGTCCTCTGGTTGTTCAAGCCCAGTAAAGGATACGGATAACAATGCTTCGTAATTTGGCGTACATGATGCAATGGTCTCATGCATATATAAGCAACGCTCTCTCTTACTCTTTGAAAGATTATTCATCGCATGACCATTAACATTTCATTAAATAAAAAACTAAGAGCAACATTCGAGCGTAATAGTCTCCATTTTATAAAATATAGAAMAAATATCATGTTATTTTCTCGAAAGCGCAACGAAAATAAATATTACTAGAGCTWAAAATTTTAATCTGAAAAGAGAGASASARAMAAAWAKMGSSRCAYRTRWAWAWAAGACAACATTTTACAAAACAGAATAATTCATTTACAAAACTGTAGTATTTGCAGACAGTAGACAGCATTTATAAAATATAGAAGTGATGTCATGATATTCTGTCGAAAGCTCGTCTAAATCAATATCACAGGAGCTTCAAATTTTAGAAAAAAAACCATGTCATTGGGTAAAAAAATGCGGTATTTAGAGGATTGTAAATAGAAAAATATTGAAAAACCAAGAGAAAATATATAATTGATGTCTGTTTGTTATACTGGGCAATCGGGTCGCATATCCAGCTAAACAATATGATGTTCTAACAATACTCGATATTAATAACTTATACCTAGCGCTGGAGGCAATATTTTATTTTAATGGAATATTAATATGTTCTAAAATTAGTCCATCAGCTACGATTCGCTAACTCGAATAAGTTTATTCTTGATCTCCAGCAGTAATGAATAAAATCAGCTAGGGCACCCAGGAAGCCATCATTATTGAACAACTAAAAAATTWCAAATCAGAAAAAAAGTAAAATCATAGCATTTGATAGTTGAATTGAATTGTTACATGATGCAGTATTGTTTTATTGATAATTAAGATTCCTCGATCAATATCAGCCTTAATCAACTCAACAAAGTTAAGGTCCAAAGTAATGGAAAATACGTAAAGGACTTGGCGTTTCTTGGTCATTGGTTGGGCTATGATAAGTGTAAACAAATCGAATGGCATAGTTTCAAAAGCGAGGCTTTCAGATATATACCGTTTAATAAAATCATTTAAATTTACACAAAATGAGAGCTTTATCGTTCAACAAAACCCTTGACAGCATTACCAACAGTGGTCCTCATTAAATATTCTAGCTAGAAAATAGAGCCTTTATTTTGTCCATCAGATGCATCCGGTAATATCACATAGTTGTTGACAGCCTTGTATAATAACAGGATAATCATGAACAATGCCTTGTTATTCCAGTACATGAACATTGTTTTTACATTCTACTTTTCTATTGAAAATAACTACTTTAAAATCGAGCACTTTCAGAAAGGAAATTCCCCTATTCCCACTCTGTGGTTCTTAAGATGCTCGGAAAACTAGTCGGACTTTTCCGTCTTTTTTTTTCTGTGAGCCAAAAATATTTTTMMAAAACATTTAAAAATGTGAATTGACTGAGCTAATTATATGATCGTGTAGTTGTTTGTAGCCCAAAATCTTTTAATCAAGTCGTATAGTAAACTTCTTATCATTTTTAGTGTTAAACTCTGTTCCATTATCAGAACAACACAGGGATCCCGTCGTCATGCAAGCATTGCCGCGGGACTAGTGTCAATGTTTGAATACATCAATGATAATTCTGAATGATATTTTAATATAATATGAAAACAGCGCTATCAAGCTCGAACAATTGTCCCTGCGGCTCTTGATAACGAAGAGAGTTTTTATTTTTGAGATTAAAATCTTCCATCCGGGTTATTCTTTACAAAAACTATACGGCTCGCAATTAGAATAGTCTCTAAGGTTAGCCGCCATTGATTACCTCGGATAAGACGTATCCAATCGGGGGAGAAAAAGAAAAAAAAAGAAAAGAAAAAAAAATGTATAAAGCATGTCGATGCCGATAAGAGAAAACGAAAAAAACAAAATCGCCGTTCTATTTTTGCCATTTTCAGATGTGTCTAGCAAGCTTCATTTCGCCGATAATATTAGAAGTTTTATCATCGTATTTCTTTACAAAGATCCTCCGCCTCCTCTTCATTATCAGAATTGAGTTGTTAAATTACCGACCATTTCGCCGAGTTGATCTTTTTTTTTCAAACTGGGGTCTTTTCATTAAATTTTACACATTATAAAGGTTTCTATGGCAACCGATAACGGCAATGCGTAATGAGCATGTCACCATATGAACGCTTGTCAAAAACGTCTAGTTCCTTTCTTCATATATTGCWGCTGTATACTATTTAGGTCTTTATGAATAGTTCGTTCACTCGGGCATTTCTTACTTCAGAATGGAACCTTAAATAAACTACTTTCGTTATGACCTGATATCGTATCAATTCTGAGAAAATGCGAAGTGAGAATTGAAAAKGGCSCGTTTCAGATGTAAATAGATAAGACCTTCGAGATTTCGATCTCATGTTGTGTTCAGAAAAATCAATCGACTTAACATCCATGTTCTTTCCCAATACAAAAAAGATCTATGTCAGTGTWAAGGCAACTTTCAATCTGTTTATAAAATAAGAGTCAGTACAATTTTTTTCCCTCAGTATTTGCGGAGATTATGATTAGAGCATGGTGATTATTGACGCATTTTAGAAGGCAGATGACATTATTCACACTCTTCCAAAAACAACTACCTACATTGTATTTAGTTCCGTGTAGTAAATCCTTTACGCCTCCTGCGTTTCGCGTCCTACGCGATTTATAGAACACAGTAAATATCAAAATGATGGCATGATTGATTTGCGCTTTTTTCTCTTAAATGGTTTAATGTCTTTTCAATGCATTAAACCTTGCCAACAATTTGTGGCAGAATCAATCTATATATTGAATTATGTTTTTATTCTTTTATTATTTATACATTGAAACAAATCTGCTTGGAATATCAAACAAAGGAAGCTAATTTTAGCTGTGATAACTCTGTCTTATAAAACGGTGAGCTGTGCACCTTGGCAGAATTGTTAAAAGTCTTCTCGTTAAAACTACCGACGATCGAAGAGGTAAATTAACCTTAATATTAGTTGAATTCTTTATAACGAAAAGCTCTCACGAAAGTACTGACAGCAAGGGCCACGTCCAAATGTTCTGGTTTGCACAGAATATTGTTGCATCGAAAATAGTTTTTTTTTCCCAAATATTTTTGTGATCGGATTTGCCTTTTCTTCTAAAAGACGTCCTGTTTTTTATTTCAACAGTGGAAGAGTACTTAGTTATGCGATTAATTCCATGTCATCTCTTTTGAAGGGCAAAGTAARACGAGACGATGACAACAGTGTTTATGAACTTAGTGTAAACTATCCTAAAAACCGAGACAAAATTAKATMAAACAARCAATGTCAATGAACACGTATCCTGGCGAGCTTCCGACCAAAAACTTTTTTCATAAAAATATACAGTTTATGCCTTTGTTCTAACATTGGAGTTTATCTTTCATTATGTTCATATACTGACATTTGAAAACGCGCATATGTTTTAATGGTATTATAGACATCGTGGATGTGACGTCAAAAGCAGTTTCATATTGGAAAAAAAAAAACAAGACTTTTCTTTATTATTTCTTCTCCGGGCGCTGCATTCCTTTAAACTGCATTCAAGAGGGCCTATATCCAACCTATTCTTTACTTTAGTAATATAAAACCCGGCAATATTGTTGACAGGGTTTTTTCGTACTTGCTAATCACATAGCGCCGTCCTAAGATAATTAATATTGGCGAGCGTCCTCAACCATTATTCTAGCTATCGTTAATACGACAATGGCGTCCATAAGCTGCTCAACACAGACATAAAGTCTACATTTCCAGCTAATACTGAGATAATTGGTGTCCAGGAGTGATTGACTTTACAAGCCTTGATTACTTTGTAATCAACAGGGGTTGAATCAAAAACAATTGCACACATAAATGGACCTCATCATATAGATATCAAGTTCCAGAATAAAAAACCGTATCTTTCTATCATGTGTTGTTTGTTTGTTTTTTTGGTTCATTTAGTGGCTATATGATAGTATAGTTGGATAATTTGACCAACAGTGAATACAGACAAAAGTCGTACAGTTTCATCGAGTCCAGCACTAAAATAGTTTAATGTCAAATACATTATAGAATGGGYAGTCAAGAATTTTGGTTAATTGATATTGTGAGCATTATTTATAYACTATACATTGTACAAAAAGCACTGCAGAAGGTTCGAAAAATTCCCCCATATATACTGAACATAGCATAGAAAAAGATTACGAGTTTTAGACCCTTTTTACATGAGATATAGGGTGGCCCTAGTGGTAGGGCCAAAATCCTTTGTTTTAAATCCTCCAGGGAAAAGAAAACAAAAGAGTTAGCCGTACCATGGCGTAGGGGCACCCTATCTCATGTCAACAGGGTCTTAAACTATAATATAATAAAAAAAACACCTCTAAATCCAAGACAAATACTACTAATTAATGACGAACAATGCTCACTAGTTTGTTTGACCTTAGTAAAAGCCAACAACATTCTTTCTATCATGAGAAGTAGTGATTTTGTTTGTACAATTATTAATTCAAGGTAACTATAAACAYATCATCTGACTACCACATCAATTAAAAAAGTAAAATTAAAAAAAATTAAAACGTGTTTTTTTTTTCACCATCAAATGTTCTCCTTAAGACATAMGTTAATTGCTAAATTATCAAGGTGGCGACATGCACGAGAAACAAAAGCGCCCACGAAACAATGTGTTTCGTTCATTTTAAGGCCTGGCCCAAGGTTAATGTTGGATGACCCATCTCCGTCCAAAACTATTGGAAAATCTAAAAATAATTGATCATCACAAATCAAGCAATCAAAGGAAAGAAATATTATTGAAAACTTAATGGACTTTCAAACTCCAGTTCCAAGAAACAAATCACATATTGTGCAAGCCGAATTCGGCCGGAAGAAAAAACGATTGTGACTTATCCAACATTTTTATGATTTGGTAGCCAGGCCTTTACATCCAATGTTGCACAACGACAGAGAAGGTACTGCAAATGGGCCTATAAATATCAAGTTTGGCGCTAAATTGCGAGAATTGTCTGTAATCAAGTTTGGCGGTCGCATCGAAATGTTGATGCATTTGCCATRAAATGAAAATTTGCAACAGAAGATGATTCGCAATTTAATTTGAAAAGCAACTTKCAACTTATTTCAAACCGAGATAGCACAATAATTAATGAGCCAAGCTTGACGTTTTTGATTCTGCTGTCTTCATGAAGATGYACACAAACAACATAAAAACACATTCTTCAGGACGAGAMTTAATCCCCGTCGATACRAAATGCTTTTTCGTAGGATGTTTTTATTTTTCGCCGTCCACGAGGAAATTGAACATTAGTGAGGACGGGATCTTTCMCTACACGCTCTTCAGTTTTCGTGATCTCAGCCATGAAAAATACATCTATTTTAATTAAAAGCATAGTACAAAGTCTCTAAAATAAACAAAGCATGCGTGGCTAGATTGAAGCGTGGTTATTGTGATGTCATATTAACTTTTCTTATATAAAAGACAGATATATTCTCAATAGCTTCCCATGGTTCCCTGTAGTCTCGTTACGCTGACTTCCGGAGAGGACTGCTTTCAWCTGAGTAGATTTGCACGATGTGTACTTACAATATGTCCAGAAATRAGTCAAGTTTCGAAAACATATTCTTCATTGATGCTTCAAATTGGGTTAATATTTGAGTTCCGTGTTGACATGGTTGGAAGTTGGTTGAATTTATTTTGGCTTCACGYGCAAAAGACGTGATAACTGTTCCTGAAAAAAAAAGAAAGAAAACTTAAAAAAACAGCAACACCATTTTAAATTCGATAAAATCGTATTGACTATGTTATATACTGCTGGTTAGCATCATCAAAAAGGCAATTTTATATYAATTTTACAACTGTCTATCGAAATGAATCAGCACGCGCGCATTGATTAYAATTAAACGCGGTAGCGCTTTGCATTTTGTCCTTTTAATCGTGATYAATTCTAACTGTAAGTGAAATTCCACATTTACACAACAAAAGAACCTGCCGTTCACACAAAGCAGTCATCCTTTTTAGTGAAATGGATGTTTTTTCAGATTCGCCGAGGTACAGTTTCGTATTAGCCCGTTTTATGAATGGTGTAACGAATATTTAAATCTAATTTTCCGATTCAAATTCCAGCCGAAGGGTGACGTCTTGCAATGCGTTGATCGGTGTYCAAGTCTCCAGCCGGTCTGTCTCTCTACCAGTTGGGTTTTTAGCGTCCGTTTCCATTATTTTTGTATTGATGTCTTCTTTAAGAGGCCAACTAGTGCCCAGGCGGCAACTCATAATTGTTTTATTCACAATAAACAAATTGGTATTTTCAAATGCCTTCGAGTGTGTACGTGCAAGAAACAAAAACACATTTCGAGGATAAATTTCCGCCATTAGTTCATACTTTCAAGTGTCAAACTTCAAACTCTTTCAATTCCGAATCTTTACTTAACGTTTGTAAGTATTTGGGGCACAAATACACTCAGGGACTGACCACCTGGAGGTCGTTAGATGCGACGTTGCAAATAAGAGGAAATGAGGTACATTTCCGCGTACGTTAATTAATTTGTCTCCATTTTAACAAGGGTATCTTACACGAGAAGATCACGTGACCCGACCGCTCCCACAACTGGAGTACTGTCGAAATAACAGCGAGAATAGAAAGATCACAAGCTACTCTAAGATAAACGATCGAAAAAAAATGCATRTCATGGAGTAATAGAGGACAAGCTTGCCCATTTTTTGATTTTTTTTTCTTTTGCTCGCTTTTTTTCGTCAGCGTTTTTTTTTTCCAGTCGAATACCGAAAACACTCTTGAAACTACCTGTGTGTTAATTTCCTCAAATATTCATATTATGAGCCAAAGCTTAAAAGTGCTCWTTCAAAGTCTGCACCTTTTCAGGAATGCTGTTTATTGTGGGAGATGTTGTCAAGAGCCCTATTAGTGAAAACCAGCATTAATTGAACTTTTTAGCTTGACAATTAGATTATTTTGCTTTTCGAGCGAGTTTTCATTTTGTAATGGTTAGCTCTGCTAATGTGTTGTCCATCCCAGCAAGAAAACAACAGGTTAGGTCAATATTTTGAGCCTTGTGGACGCCATAAGTGAACTGATGTTGCCATGGGSGATTTCTCGAGCCTCTCATGTTCTCATCTTACGCCAACTCAAACCCAGAGAATTGCCAAAACAAAACGAGGCTGTAAAAAATACACTCACGCAAAAGCGCAATAAGACAAACAGTAAACAACTCAAGTGCAACAGCATTAGAATGATTGTACATGTCACGTGACCAATAGAGCTAATCACATTGGATCTTTCAACGATCGTTGCCGATTCGTTGTCGCTAAGTCGAAAGCTKCGAATCATTCCGTAGTCGCTATAAAAACGCAGTCGCTGAATCGCCTATCGCATAATTACGTCACACCAAAACATTCTATGGTTTTAACGCTAAGGATTATGGTCGCCAGAGCGGATCAGAGTTTCTGCATATCAAATAAAAAGTAGATGAGAAATCATTTATTCATGATGTACATCAAAACTCTATAAACTAACGTTCTGCTTTTGGAAAGAATATYAATAGGTCCAAATTTCRAGTCTTTCTGAGCATCTATCCACAATGTAAAAACATACTGTGACGTCATTATGCCATAGGGCAATTTTCATCGGCATTTTCGGAGGCCGTTTTTAACAATCCTTTCATTTAGGTCATCCTTTTCCTTATCTGTTCACAATGTCTTTATACAGTTTTAACCCATTTTTTATATAAATAATYTTCCAATAAATATTTTTGTACCATATACTCCTAAAGCCGGCGCAGATTTACAAGTGACATATAATGTTCGCATACGTATACGGATGGAAGTTATGCATCTTTAGGCCGCCGATTATTTGACGTTTGTGTGAAGATGGGTGATTTGGTTTCGAGTGCACAAAAATTGTTTCTCGCTGGCAAATTAGGGCCCGCGTTATTTTATTTGGTAAAAATAAGCGCATTTTTTTCTTTTAGTGCGGTAATCTATTTTCAAAAACAAGAGCACGTCCAACCCCTGTCCACGCCCTCAAAATTCAACTGGTCAGCCACTTACAGTCATTGCATCAATGTCTCTAGAGCGGATTTCGTATGAGTGGGACACCGTTACCGCACGGTTACCGCACAGTTACCGCACCTGGCCTGCAGAATTTTGGTGAAACAAAGGGGCACTAGAATTTGGTTACAGTACGATTACGGACACAGTACAGTACCGTCCGTTTCCCACTCATACGAAATCCGCTCTATTTTCGATTAMGAAAAGTTTCAGAGATCACAGATCATTCGGTTRTTATCAGATAAAACGATATTATCTGCGGAAAAAGAACCGGTCAAAGGACAACTAGTTCTAGACAATGGCCTTTTCAATTATAAGTATATGCGGGAGATACATACTTGTAACAGTTCTAAGTTCTTCCTGGCTTGTTGATTTAGACGTGGAACTTGTGATGGACTGTTCTCAGAGGTGAACTGAAGTGACTGAAATATCATTCAGAGAATAAGTATTTCCTGTTCTTCCGATGCGTAAATTTTAATAATAAAACTTATATATAGCTATCTTCACTAGGAATTAGCCATGGCGTTAATCAGTTGAAACAGCCCTTCCCCAACCCCCAGGTAATACAGGGGGATGTAACATTTCAACAATGTTAAAAGTTCGGGATTTTCTCGGCTCTTTAATATAGACGAAAAGGCGGCTAAACAGATCATTTAACCTACACCTTCCAGTGAATTGACGCAGTGTTTTTAGGGTGCAACAAAAATCGAAAAACACAAATTCACCAGCACTACAGGCTTAACTCAGGGGCAACCCTGAACACAACCGCCAGCAACGAACACCACAATGACAAGAGCATACTTCTTAATTTTAGTAAGCCATAGGCAATTTCAAAGATGCCTAAACTTGCAGTACTTAGCAACATAAAATACATCCTTTACCTGGCCGTTTCCAATGGGAACCAACACTTGTGCAATGTGAGCTGGTGTTGCRATATTAGCCAGAGGCGAACCACTCATTGACATGATCCTAAGGCAGCAACAGGATGAGAAAGAGCAATGATATATTGTATACCAATTGAGMTTCTATTGTTGCACTTGATTGTATTTAGGTCTTACCTTTCTCCTTCTTTAGGTTCTCTTAACAAKGCTGGAGTTACTGGTAAGCTAAAAATACATAAACACTATAATGCACTAGTCAATTGAACCCCCCGCCCCCCGACCCCCGGGGCTAGCGGGGCACTGAACGCGGATGTGACGCGTTTTTAACGTGCTTTTAACAGCAAGATTGCCCCGGGGGTTCGGGATTTTGATGAATTGGTTTCAAAGCGGGGCAAAGAGCGGGGATTTTAACGCTCGTTTGAACATGTATGAGGCTGGAAACTAGACGTTCGCCATCTTGAGAAATACCATGAAGGCATTGGTATTCAACCCCGCTTTTTTGTTTATTTTTCCTTGCATGAATTTTTTTAAAAAGAAACATATTACACATGTTTTTCTCCGTCCAGTTAGCCACATGTTAGCACGCAAATGAATACACAGGATTACACAAAAATTCACCCTGTGTATCACAGAAAATTGAATTGGATTGAAATGTGTTTGTTTTGTTATGAACTACTTGACCAAAATAGCGGGGCAACAGTAGCGGGGATTTTAATAATGAATGTGCCCCAACTACCGGGGGAAATGTCTTATTTTAACACTACTCAAACGTTAAATTCCCCGGTATTCCCGGGGGGGGGGGGGGGGCACAGGGTTTTCAATTGACTAGTGCATATAATTATTAGTTAGTAACAGTTATCTGACTGTTGATGCAAGCAGTAAGCCCTGGCAACAGCACTGGGAACTCCATGCTCTACCCTCACTCAAATGAATGGTGTAGGAGCTTTAACATCCATCAAGAGGCAATAAAACAATAATGAATTGAGCTTATCTTATCTTACTGGCACTCTACGTGTACAAAATGCCATCTGATAGCACTTTGCCTATTCAACATGTCAAGAGATTGTCTCCAAGCAAAGGGACCTGTGTATTATTTTACACAATTGGCAATTATTTTACTTTGATATTAGCTTCATCTTACCTTGGGTCAAACTTCGGAGTTACAAAAGGTGTCTGTGCAATGTTGCGTACTTGGCAGGCAGGTGTGACAAACTGGATATTTGATCTGGCATTTTTCCTGAGGGCAATAATGCATTTATTTCTATCTATCTAGCACTTATCACTCAGTCAATACAGGGGCCACACAATTAAGTAATCTGGAAAAGCTTGACATTTTGACTAATATGCTTTTATAATAAGCARTGGAAATACCTGGTGCTTCTCCTTGATGTTGTTGGAGCTAACATTTCTGTCTTCTGAAGTTTGGCCTTTGATTTGCATGATGGAGATTCTGGGACATTTTTCCTCTGTGACAAAACAATTTGATTCGAATTGAAGATAAAAAGACTCTTTCAAAGATAATCGACATGTTAAAAAGGTCAATTCACAAATCTCGATACCCTGTTTCAGTGACCAAGAACAAAGCACTGAACCAAGGCGTTAACAAACACAGAACACAAATCTCTCCTTTTATGTTCACTGTATATTGATGCCTCAACTCAAGGTGCTTCATGATCACTGACCCTGAGTGTGGAATATAGTAAATGTTATAAATGTGATGTTTATACTGTTACCTTTCTTGCTGTAGACCTTAAGCTTCTTCCTGTGGTTTGTGGCTCTGCAACCTAGCGAGTAATCATTGTTTTTATAGTAAGTTGGTTTATTTGTTGACTTGTTTTAAAAAATTATTGTCTTTCCTTCACTACAATTTTCACCATCAAATATTGACCATATTGTATTTAGTTACTTACTTCTGTCTTAGGAGCTTTCTTTTTTCTGGTGGATTGTGCTGGAGTCTTTGACATAGGAGCATTTGTTTTATCCTCGAAAGGTACCCTATTACTAAAAATTGAAAGATACCATGACTACAAGAGATGACCATTCATATGACCATATTTTTTCAT